ATCCTAACGATACAACATGTAATATCTGGAGAAAGTTGGAATCTGATGGCCCAGGATGAAAGTCAAACTGCTTCCACAAATTTAATTTAACCGACAAATAGTTATCAATTGTTTTAAGATTAGACAGTTTGAGAGGCAGGTGCTCACTGAAGGCCCAGGAAAATTTATGTACTTTGCGTTAATAGAGAAAACGGTTGTTTTACGTTTGCGAAATTCGGACAATTTTGGTGAGAAATGCCTGTCGTGGGAAAACGCGTTCCATTCGATTCCATCTTCATTCCTTGCCAGTGATTTTGAGCAGTCCACGTTGTAATAAGGAGTGAATCTTTCCATCGTTCAAGGCTTGTAAGAAAGCCTTGAACGATTAAAATCGACTCCTCGTAGTTTTCTGAGGTTACAACAGGTGGGCAAGGTGAAACGAGTCTTGTGGACAACACAGAGGGCTGAAATGGCCCCACTTGAAATGTTGGCTATGAAAACAATGATAACAGAAAGACCTTGATAAATGACGCGGGAAACACTCAGGGAAAGTTCAAGGAAAAACGGATAGTTTTTTTTTCGTTTGTCTGTTTTTTTTCCCGCTAAATTCCACCTACCGTTTAAATACTACATGACACAGTCGTGATTCAAAAGGATTTGAAGATGTGGCGCTAGTGCATGGCAAACGGAGCATTCGTATAGACCCGAATAACCACAAGAAAGACGATCAGCAGAAGCCGCCATTGTTGTCGAAAGGCTGATATTAACATAAAAGGCTTGAAACTTGTGGGAAAGACAAGAAAGCTGGCTGTAAAGGAAACAAAAGTTTCCGTAATGAAAGATTCCAAAGGGAAAACAGGGCTACTTCTTCAAAAGTTCACAAGCCCATTTCTCCGAAAAATTTCCAGTGGAATAAGCCTAAAAGTCGTGCTTCATTTGCATCCCAATCGGAATTTCCGGAAATTCGTTGTAAATAGAAAACAGCCAATAAAGATCAACAGAACATTGAAAGAGTTGTTGTTATGTGCTTTTCATTGTGCCAAAAATGGAAGTGGAACGGTTCGTTCCGACCGGAAATGTTTGCAGGCTGGTCAATCTGATAGAATGAACATCGCCCACTGTGTGTTCAGGTAATG